AATCGAGCTAGCTAGCAACCTGTGAGAAAAGAGAAAAGATCACCCCATCAGAGGCACAAGGAGAAAAACGAGGTGAAAGTTTTGTTTGACACTCACGAGCTCTTGATCGGTATTCCTGGAGATGACTCCGATTCTTCGCTTGTCCTGGCGGCTCAAGCTAAACGCCACCACTCCTCCGCCACAAATCGCGAAGGCGATGGTGGCGAACACTCCCACCGTCACAGGCCGGCTAAACACCGTCCGCATGATCGGCATTTGCTCCGAGCGATTCGCCTGGCGGTAGCCAAACGATCGCAACCTCTCCTCCGCCTCGCCGCCGCCACCTCCGCCGCCGCTAGCAAAGTGGCTCGTGTTGATCTGGAGCTCCTCCTGTGGAGCCCTGTTTATAATTCGCTGGTACGCGGCCGAGAGGCGCTGGAATTCTCCGTGATTGTTGGGGCTCAAATCGGGATGGCTGCGAAAGAAAGAGAGAGAGATAGAGAAGAATGGATTACTCCGCTCCACCAGAAGAAAAAACTCTACCATTTCAAAGCTAAGCGCCTGTACGCCGCCTTGACCTCGCTCGCGCTCGCGCTCGGGGTCAATCCCAGCGCCTTGTACGCTGATCCCAGAGAGACACCCGCCTGATCCATAGAAAATCAAAATCTAGGTCGGCATTTTCTTCCACATTAGAGATTTAGGGTTCTTCGGAAACTTCTTCCGTACAACATCATGCGTATTTGCCGTACATAGCTCCAATGGGTTTTTATTGACGAAGAAAAATTCACAAATGCCGATCTGAGCCAAGTCCTCGAAAAAGCTTTAAAGAAAGAAAAAAATTTACCCAGTTCGAGTCGCGGTTATTTTCTCGTGTCCATTTTTATTTCCTTCTTATCGCCATCGCCAGAGCTCCACTATAGTAGCAAAGTCATGGGGTCCTCGATGTAGCCTTTGAACGCACCGAGCCAGTGCGCTCCAATTGCGCCTGACGAAATAGATCAATCCCTCGCTCAGATCTTGTGAATCGAACCGAAAGAAGAAAACGAAACTTACCATCCACAACTCTGTGATCACAGCTCAAAGTAGCAGACATGAATGTAGCCGCTGTGTACTCGCCATCGTTCTCACCAGGAATCACTCTCTTGTCAGCTACAAACAAAACGATCGAAGATATATCAAAGTTGGGAAATGGCGCCTGAGACGTTGAAAACTTACTCGTGCCGACGGCAAGAATGCACGACTGTGGCGGATTGATGATAGCACAAAATTGTTTGATACCAAATGGTCCACCCAAGTTCGAGACCGTGAACGTGCCACCCTGCGACACCAAGGGACTCATGAGCGTTTCAAGTATCATGCAAAGCAAACGCTTACATCGTAGTCACTAGGCTTCAGTGTGTTCTCCCTAGCCTTCTCCGCCAACGTTCTTACATCGTCCGAAATAGCTCCCAACCCTTTCTTATCAGCATCCTGGAATGGCGAGTAGAATGAGAAAAAGAGTAGAGAAAACTAAAGCGCAGCTTACCTTTACAACTGGAACCATCAAACCCCGCTCCGTTTGTACAGCAACGCTGATATTTATGTTGTGAAACCTGTAAAAACAGGAACAAAATGAGAAAAAAGAAATAGACCACCGGTAACGTTTGCACTTACTGCCTGATAAACTCGTCAGTCCACGAGCTATTACACTCTGGAACCTTCTTCAGCGCTAACGCCGCAGCCTAACATGAACTGCCTGATTAGCTGAGTGCAGGTAATACTACTGTGAAAAACTTACCTTCAAAACGAAATCGTTAACAGAAAGCTTTTTCCTTTTCTCCTTCTCCAGCTTGGCATTCAACTGAGTCCTTAGTCTGCATAAGCTCAGAGTATTAGCACCAAAAGGAAAAGAACAAAAAAGCGATCAGTAACGTACGCAAGGAGCTTGTCAACACGAACATCCACGGTCAAATAATAATGTGGAATCGTTTGCTTTGATTGAAGAAGGCGTTGAGCAATGACCTGAAACAGATGGAAGTTTAAATTTTCTATAAAAGATACCACTGTCGCTTACCCGTCTGATTTGTGTGTTTGGTAGATCCGTGTAGTCCAGCGAAGTAGAATCACCAGGCGTTTCAGCACGCCGAGGCTCTTGTACTTGCTGGCCACCTATAAAAACGACAATTAGAAGCTTTCCAATAGAACAAAATTGAATTTGTACTCACCTTTCAGGCCCTCTACATCCGCTCTGACGATCCGACCTCCAGGCCCAGTCCCCGCTACTCCTGATAGAGATATCTGAAAGATACCAATTAAGCAAGGAAAAGTGATACAACTTCTTACTTGGTTATCCTGAGCATACTTCCTAGCGTTGGGGCTGGCTATGATCCTATCACCAGATGCAGCTGGAGCAGGCTTGGGCGACGGAGCCGGTTTTGGGCTTTCTGTGGGTTTCGGTGGAGGAGGGCTTTCCTTGGGAGCGGGCTTCGGAGGTGCAGCAGGAGCGTCAGCTTTGTAGTCTTTAAACTTATCAATATCCCCTTGTTCTTCGACAGTTATGGCTATAATCTGGATGTTTTGCAAAGGCGACTCGGCTCAAGCCAGAAAGACGGACCAAATCAGCATACCTGTCCAACTTTTATGTCTTTTGCACCGTCCGAAAATACGATCTTAGCCAAGTAGCCGTCTTCCATGCATTCCATGTCAACTGTTGCTTTATCCTGAAATTTGCTGGTTAGGCATTCCAGAAAACAATCATCCCAATGAAAAGCTCTACCGTTTCAATTTCGCAAAGCACATCTCCGGCAGTAACCTTGTCACCCTCCTTTTTCTTCCATTTCACTATGTTTCCCTGTAAAGAAAACAGCCGCCTTTTCATACAAAAAAGCGATGGAAAAGAAAAGGAAAAGCCTACACACCTGTGTCATGGTTGGAGAAAGAGACGGCATTCCAAGAGGCTGATGCGAAGGCACTAGACAGGAAAAAAAAACATGATCAGTCAAGCATAGAATCGAGAGAAAAAGGAGCATACTATCAGCGTAGAAACGCCTCGAAACGTACTGTCCAGGCGGACCAAATCTAAAAACCATAGTTGACCTGGGACAAGCAAGAAAAAGAGAATCGAGTCACCGATCGCATTGCAATCGAGCTAGATCTGACCCTCACCTGAGATAATCCTGCGCCTCATGGTGATGATGTAACCACGAGGAGAAGCAGCGCACCCTCAATTCCCACACGCCGCCCTGATGCGATCCATTGGCCATACAGCTGCAATGCGAGAGGAGCCTCCGGCGCCCCACACCAACGGCGGCGCGCATGAGCGCCATCACCGCTGCGCTCTTCCCCAAACCCTAATCCTCCGATCGAAAGCGCCACAGCCTTGTCGCCTCTACTCGCGCATTTTCCTAAACCCTTCCACAAATCGCCGGATATAGCTTCCTCTTCCCTCTCTCTTTCTCCTCACACCTGTCCTGTCCTAAAAACCTAGTTTCTCGTCAAAACAGGGGAGCCCTAAACCCATTCTAGGGCTCTTGAGGGTTTTTGCGCCATGGCGCCGGCCGCTGGGAGCAAGAAGAAGACCAAGAGCAAGCGGTCCGGCGTTGGAATCGACTTCAAGGTAAGATTTCCCTGGAATTTCACGATGATCGGCCTGCATTTTCGTGGATTTTGTGTAGAAAGTGAAGCACAAGGTTGGTCGGAAGATCCCTGCTCCTCAGAACGCGACTAAGGTCGAGTTTAAGTCGAAGAGTGCGTTTCTTCTGTCCTCTATGCTCTTCATTTTGCTGCTAAAATCCAGAGGTTTGTGTCGACAGAGATTGTTTTGCACGAACAAAGTGTGAAGGTGGACAAGGATGGATTGGCTGTGAACCAGCGGAACAAAACGCTGAAAGAGCTTCTCAATCAGATTGCTCATTACAATGCGAGAGTCCGGAAAGGCAAGCTTTTCTCTCTTTTTTTTCTTCGATGAGTTGGTTTTATATGTCGTGGTTTTCCTGGCAGACGCTTTGATGGGAATAAAGGATTTGTTCTCGAGGCATCCCAAGGAGCTCGAATGCAATGCCATAACTACGATCCAGAAACTGACTTCTCGTTTTACTGATGGGGACAAAGCTGTGAGACATGCGTTATTGTTGGTGCTACGAGAAACATTTTCCAGCGTTACGAAGGTATGAAACTGTTGAAGGTGCTGCGAGTTCTCAAAACAAAATTTTTCTTGTGCTACAGAGTGTTATGAAGCCCATTGTTTCCATAGTGATGGCTCACTTGGGGACTGCTATGACACATATGGCAAACGATATTCGTTTAGACGCGTTTGCCTTTCTCGATCTCTTGCTTCAGCACTATTCATCATTACTAATTCCTATGTACACTAGCCAGGTATGAGAGATTTCTCTTTTGATTCTCTTAACCCCCTTGATATTTAGATATTTGACCATTATAACCATTTCCTTGGTTTCGGTGGCTCGCATAACTTCGATCCAAATGCAACGCTTACGGTTGTAGGCAGCTTAACACGCGTCTTATCCGTTGTAAGCACTTCTGGCTCGTCCGACACAACTTGTACGATTGGAACGTGTCATAGGTGGTCGCAAAAGTACGACTTACAGACGCTGAGGCCGTTGCATGGGTACAACAGCATCGCTGCTGACATCTCAGAGAAATCTTTCGCTACAAGCTCTGTCGATTCTAGCGGTAAGATTCTTTGTCTTCATAATGCTTAAGTTGCATGTTCTAAGAGCAAACAAAACTGTTGTAGGTTCCGGCACGAAATGGATTGACATAAGCGCTTCATTAGTGGACGCCCTTCTAAAATGCTGGGCTGAACTGGCGCCAACCGTCTGCTCCAGTCCGTTGCCTGATGCCGTGAGCCTGGATTGCATGGTTTCAATAACCAGATGCCTATGTCTACTTTTTGAGTGGCTAGAACGCTCGCCGGAGAGTTGTCAGATGAAGATGGAGCTGAGACACAGGTTTCTTTTGCCATGCTCGAGTCGACTAATGGCCAGTTTTCCAATGTCAGCTCCTGCAGTTCGAACCATTGCCAAGGTTTGGGGCTGTTGGAGTATTGCTCGCATCATAACAACTTTCTTTCCAGATTGAAGAATGCTTGTGTGCACTCAATGCCGGGATATGCGAGACGATCTTGCACTTTGTTGTTGCTGGATTGCACGACTTCGATTTTACTAACGTCCTGCAGTATTACGAGGGTGCTTTGCTAGGAAAGGTTTGCGAATTTTGTTATTGTTTGTCATTTTTTTCTGATCTTCGGTGCCATTTTGTAGCTGCTGTCGTTGTCCCTGTTCTCGTTTTCTGCGAGCCACAACAAAGCATTGGATCCCTACATAAAATCCTTGCTAGCATTTGCTCCTCTTGTGTTTGACTATGCTGACATTAACTGGAAGTTCAAAGTGTTACAAGTCGGTAACGGTGAACTTATTTGTTTCGAAGACCAACCGTCTTGTCTTGCAGGCCATAACAAATGCTTTCGATCGCAGCACTCCAGAATCTAGTATTAAACTTGGATGCCTTACTGCAATGTCCAAAATTCTCCTTTCAGTACGTTCTTTCCCTCCCCCCTCTTTCTATTTTGTTATCGCTCTTATAAATTGATTTCACCAGGAAAGTCAGGACCGTAAAGAAACCCAAGCTCCCTCTGTTGCTGAGCAGTTCAGTAAGAAATGGCTGGTGTCATTTCCCAGGCTTCTTTGGGAGCTCAAGTGTAATCAACTTGCGTCTTCAAAGGTTTGTGTCAAGACGCCATTTAATCCCATTCGCATCGTAATGTTTCTCTTTCTTTTTTGCAGATTGTTCTAGAGATGCTACTCCGCCTTGGAAAGTTTGCAGTAGCTGGCTCTACTTTAGCAACAGATTTTGGAATGCTTCAATCGGCAATGATACCGTTTTTCTGCACTGTGTTGCCAGCCAAGGAAACGCCAGGTTCCGTTGCGTCTCCTAAATCTAGCAAAGAAACTAACTTTTCACATTCCAGACAAGTATTTGTACGGTCCGTTTATTAAGCTTCCTAGGGACTGCCAAGAGATTGCGGTCGACGTATTGTACTACTTCAGCGGCTTCCAACCTTTCTTTCTCAAAGCACTGTTAGCTTGCTGTCTGTGTAAGTGCGCATTATGGCTTACATCTTCTAACCTGGAAAACCTCGACTCGCAGCTCCGGACATGGATCTGCAAACTTTGGTCCGTTTGTTGGAAGTGGTGCGAGTGTCCTTTGTTCAAGGTCGGGTTGAAGCTGCAAACTTTTTCAGTTTCCTTCTTACGCTGGTGGTGGAGTGCTCGCATGCACACGGTAAATATCTCCTTTTTTCTTTTCGGGCAATTTCTAACTGCTGATACTCTTTTCAGAAACTGCTGAAGAGAGAAAGAAACACTGGATAATACTGGGTGTGGTGTCCCGTAGCCTATTCCAGATTGGAGATATCGACGTAGTTATGCATTTGTTGGCCAAGCCAATGTCCGAACATCTGGTGCGTAATTTTTCACACCTGTTGCTGTTTCTAACAGTCAATTACAGTCGGCTCGGCCTTCCCCAATGTTGTTAGCTAGTTCACTAAAAGTTCTGGCTACTCTGAGCCACGATGTGGAACATGTGGAGGTCCCTGAGTTGCTATTGAGCGTTCTGGTGGCGCAAACCGCGAGCTTTGCGGTTTCAAGACTTCTGGTATACACCCGCGTTTTATCATGTGTATGATAATATGAATTGCAGGCTAAAGACCAAATGGTGATGGTTATTGTTCGCAATGCGGTGGACTTAGTTTTCAAGAACAAGAGGTTTGCACAATCCTTGATGAAGGAATTAGCTCTGAATCTCTCAGGTTCGTTTGTTATGTTCTTCTGTCTTACGGCTGAGTGTCTATTCTCTTCAGGTGGCAAAGATCAAGTTTATGCTGTGGGAGTTTTGACGAACGAAATATGCAAGCAAAAAGCGATCCAGAAGCACCTCAAGTTTTCAGATGTTAGTGAGATATTTCGAGCAGTAAAGGTACGACTAGTATGAACTTTATGTTTCACATACACGTTGTTTTGTGTCGCAGACAATTTTGAAGGAGGCACGCATGGACCAAGCTAAGTCCAAGCAGCTTTTCCACTTAGAGATCAGCATCCGAGATGCGTTTGGATCGCAAGTCCTAGTTTAAGCTGTGGCAAAGAGCTCGGGTATTCCGTGGCTTTTGGGAATCCTGTGCTTGAGCTTTAATATTATCTGCCGCATCCTGGAAAGGTCAGTCGATTTTCGGGGCTTGGCGATGGCGGCATCAGTTTTTTTCTTCTCCACAGCCGGCTTGGTGGAGATTAGTTCTGAGACGGCACCCCAGTAATTTAGTGGTGCCCTCGCATGGAACTCTTCTCGGGACTCCAACGATACCTGCATGAGGAAGAGAGGTCAGTTTAAAACATAAAATCTATCTTCTTGACGACCTTTTCCTTCTCACGATTTGCTTTTTTGCTAGCTTCGACTTCTGCGTTCCGTTTTGCAAAGAGCTCTCGTTTGTGCTCCTCGGCAGCGCAAAGAGTTTTTGCAAGCCTGTCCCTCTCGTCATTCTCCTTCGCTTGTAAAGCTAGCGCGTTTTTCCTGGCAAGAAACCGTAAGTGATTTTCTAAAAAGCTTCCTAGCGACTTACCTCTTCCATTCCAGGAATTTAAGATGCGATGGATCGAAGGTCGCTGTGGCGTTGCTAGTGCTGAAGATGTCCCGAGGATCATCAACGTCCTTTTTCTTTGTCTCGAGAAGATCGTGAAGCTCCTGAACGCCACTGATGGTGAAGGTCTTTTCGTTCAAGCCGCCGTCATCCTCGGCATCCCAGCGAGGATCAAGATCAAACGCCTCGGTGAAAGAAGCCGTCCGAATTGCCTCTACTTCTTCACTCACCTGGATCTTCTCCTCGTGCCTGTGCAACACGCTGATTGAAGGCGCTGCTCGCGACTGGTTCTCAAGGACAGCGTACGTATCTTCCATGCATACGCTCGCCACGGTTGTGACAGTGATGCTCTCAAAGCTGTGATAGGCAGACAGCGGTGCTCGTGGATCGAACTCGCCATGGCGTTCCATCGTAGCGTTTTCTACTCACTCAAACAGCTCCTCCTCCCGCGGCCAAGAAGAAAACTGAATGTCTTTCTTGGCATGTTGGGCGAGGGAGAAGCTGGTTAACGATATTAAATGGAAAGATAAACAACAACAATGATTCAGTTCGAGTTTTAAAACCATTTTCCCTTGTTAGATGACAGTAGAGCCTCGTAAATATGAGTATTCCCCTTGAGCATACCCAGGTCCTCTTTAGTCAAGTTGGAGATTGCCTTCTGGAAAGTGGATTCATCCATGAACCATATCCAAGCAGCCACCAGCCCAACTAGCTCTGGCTCGGCACCAATAACCTCAGTGACAATGCCAGACAGGTCGATAGTGCTTCGCT